AACACAATGTTGAGGCATTCTCTGTCTCTGTCATCTTCACAATTAAAAAAATATTCTGGATTTATTTTCTCCAGTGTGGAATTTCATTTTAGTGGAGTTTGGAATAATAAAGCAAAATAGAATGAAAGTCAATGGAAAGTCCCATCCAATACAGGAATACACAATCAACCATGGAATACCACGCTAATGAGCCCGAGATTAAATTAAACAGCTGCCCCTGACAGCTTACTTTGACTTTATACGTGCAAAGTAGACTCTTTCACTCACACCTGTTTTATCATATTTTTATATACATGTATACAGTATATGCCTATATATGCAAATTATACACAATTAGCATGCCAAGGCAGGAACCTAAGACTCAGGACACCAGAGCTGTGAGACTGCAGTTAATAACACCATCCCATCAAACCATTTTAACCAGGTCGCTTTTAAATACTGCACTTTTTCTATAAAAATGTTATTCCTAGGACAAAAAAACTCGTATTTAGAACTATAATTGTTTAAAGGATAATTGCTAATCTTGATGTTTTATATTAAATAATGTGTTTTATTTTAAGGTAAGCTTAGTGGATTCAATACTGTATTCATTTTATGTCTGAGTGCTACCTGAGATTCATTTAAAGATTCATACTTTTGCTTGCACAGGCCCTGAATAGGAACAGCAGACACAGGCTACTGCATACTAATTGAAATATGCCTGATTTATTGATTCTCATGAATGTGAACTCTGTCAGTTCGTTCTCTCTCCTTCTGTGCGGGAGTCATACATCCATTGTTGCTAGATAAGTATAATTCGGTACTCAACATTATCAATCTTGAGAAGTAACTTTTTATCCTAGAACCATGTTTTAATATCATTGTATTTATTTTAGTAAAAGTATTTACTTTGAGTATCTGATTTTATTTCAATTTTCTTATTTTGTTGCAATAAAAGAGAACATAATCAAATTGATACATCAATAAATCTGTCTCCCCCTTCCACTCTTAATTAACAAAAGAAAAATATATATTTACAAACTGACTTGAAGACAAAATATACAAAACATGGGCTTCCCAAAAAATCATATAGTTTTAAATAGTGATTTAAATCATATACCTTTATTAAACCATGCCCTTCACACTTCATCAAACTTCCCATAGGATATTTGGTACAATATATCTTTTGGTATATCTGGACTAAAAGCAAGAGGTGAGTCAGAAAAACGTTTACCAGAAATACCCAAATACTTCTTCCAAGCACGGAGTGAAATTATTAAGAACACCATAAGAATTGGCCACATCTCCTATAGCTTTAAAACAAAAAGCAGACAATTGCAAAGGGTAACAAACTAAAGCCTCTATTTTCACCCATAGGATTCAGCAGATTGTGAGCCTGAATAGGCCAGTTATACAAGTGAATGTTAAGAAGGACCACACCCCTAGGAAAAGGAGCACACACTAGAAAAAGGGAACACACACAACTTAGCATACAAATCCAATCGAAGAAATAAAGTTAAAGAAGAGCTGCCTTCTATACTTAACAGAATGCAACCTACAGCTAAATCTCCTCTGTAAACTCAGATGCCACAAAATGAAGGGGAACCTCCCTATTCTAAAAATACATTCACTAACAAGAAAGGCCATTTTTAATCAAGGGATTCTTTACAGAGAAAATCACACAGGAGAATTTCCTAAAACAACAGAATAGTAAACTCTCTAAATATTTAGCTCTCATCTAGTCTTTCTGGACAATCTGAATAAGGAGGTCCTGCTTTCAACATCTCCCTTTTCCTCTCCCTTTTTTTCTGTCTGCCTGTTTTATGCCCTGTTCTTGAACTGATGATTAAAACTTAATCATTTACCTAGAACTTAATTAACTAAGGGAAACTATGGTAGACTTACCATTGCTTTAATCACTGAAGCTGGGACCACTATATCCCAGTCAACATCCCCTTATTTTGAAGCTGGAAATGTGGACACTAGCCAGGTTTCCCCATTGTATCTAGATTAACTTTGCATTAATAGGTTTTAAAGTGAAGATTTAAAAGTGCTGACTGACTTGCAATACATAATACAGTATGTGCTGAGAGTTCTTTTCACAGGTTTGGAGCAACAGATCAGGAAGCATGGTGTCCAGAGGTTCCCCTTGTTTTGGTAATTAAAAGAAGAATCAAAGTCTAAAGTTTACAAACAACGTGTACAGTATATGTATAGGAAGATAATAGTTCACAGATAGGAGAGATTAATGGGAGAGAAAAGAACATAAAGTTTTAAAATGAAAACAATATACTGTGGTGAACTTAAACTTCAAATTTACTTAAGATTTGGATCAAATACGTCACAAAAAATCCTGAATATGTTTTTCGACTGATTCCAAAACCATAAATAGCTAAACTATAGTTGACACACTAACAGAGTTGATAACAAGAGACAATCAGCATACAGCATAAAGTCTTGTCAGAGTTGAAAGATATTATAAATAAAATTATCGTATTAACATTATCTAAACAGTGTGACAAGATGGATAATTATTTTCCAAATAATGACTAGTTGGCAACAGTTGTTATATCAAAGGAATGACACATTAATGATGTCTCTTTTTTTTTCTAGAACTAAGCAACCTAAATGCAAAAAATAAAATGCTATGAAATGTTATGCTAGATTATCATTATTATAATAAAAAAAGGCTAAAAAAGAGTTATGATATTTTAATGGCTATACATGTAGAATCAGCTTGTACCTTATATATTTTTTCAACATAAAATTTACAATTGTTTTAGTAATGGTGGAGTCAAAATGCACCACTTGACAGGAACACTATTAAACCAATAAACAGATAAATACCACATCACAAATAAGATTAATTATGTTATAAAAAGACAATTTGATTGGTTTTCAAAATACCTTAGTGAATTAGCTTCACTTACATTCCAGCAAACAACCAAATTATGGGCACTCATATGCCCATACTTACTGTATGCTGATTAGATAAGAAGCCTTTACAAGAATATTGTGGCAGAATCAATGCGATTACACGTGACTGTTAATTGTTCCGGGAGTTACAGTAAATAGTTAAGCGGGAACCTGTTTTTTTCTTGCTATATGTTATGTAGAAAAGCCTTATTATAAGTTGAACAAGGATGGAGGCAAGGTACAAATTTCAAGATCTGCACAGCACTGCTGAAAAATAACAGAAGTGATTTACTGTATAAAAACAGATGTAGTTTAATTAAAAACTTATAGAAAAAAGATACACATAAGTGGTGACTTGTTAATTATGTAATGTAAAGTTCTGTATCAGGACTTCTGCTCTGCCAAGTACAGTAAATATCATCTCAATCCTGGTATTGTGACCAATCAAGTTAAGTTCATAAACATAAATCTGTCAAAAAAAATAAAAGACTTGAATAAATTGATTCTACTCTTACATTAAAAAAAACTTAGGTGCCTATATGAACACATTGTTTTCCCCTGGTATAGCAATTTTGGGATACTCTGTGTTCAATTTTGATCAAAAGATACAAAAGGATATTCCTGTGGAATCGGTTATTCCTGGATTTAGAAATGTTAAGAAATGTTTTACTCTAAAAATTGTGGTAAAAAGGTTAAAACTGTGTTTTAGGTCTTGAACAAAGATTATGATGGGGCTTCAGTAAGGTATTCAAGATTTTCAAAGGCATTTACAAAGTCAACACAGTGGGCATCTTCTTGTGGAATTAAATTTAAAATTGAGAAAAGGGAGGCATTTCTTTACACAGAGGGTAACTGGATTATGGAACAAGCCATACTACCATGACTGTGAAGCTAGGAGTTCTTCCATGTTGATCTTTTAATAAGCATACTGGATTTAATAGTTCAGGTGGGTAGCTGCGTCAGCATGCGTAGGCTGCAAAGGAACAAGTAATAGGTTTATTCCATGCTGAAAAAAAAGAAGAAAGAAAACACAACATTTCGGCCATAGAGCCTTCTTCATGTGTGAGCCTCACGCCCGAAGAAGGGTCCACGGCCAAAACGTTGTGTTTTTCTTCCTTCTTTTTTTTCATACAGGATTTAAGCCACTTACTGGATTATTGTTAAATTTTTGTGATAAAGCACGTTGTCTTTGGAGCTGTTAAATGGAGTTAGTTTTTGTTATTTGCAAATAATAAAGTACTAACTTCAAAATATGTTACTTTCTGTGTGTTATCTGAAGTTTGAACTTCATAGGCAGGGTGCTACACTGGACAGAAATGTTCTCTCCTCCCTTTCAAGACTGCTCTCCGGCACTAATACCAGTGCTATAAAACACAGTATATTGTGTCCACGGAACCTCTGCCTCCCTCTTCCCTATTGCTGCCTGCATCTGTATGGAATTCACATTCACATTCATGGAATTCACATGCTATGAGAAACTTAAGTACAATTTTGACTCACACCTTTATTTAAAAGTGTATGCTTGCTCATTTTGAGAAACCACTTTTTTAGTGGACTGAAATATATCCCACAGTGTAGTCAGTCTGGTTCCTCACTGTCTAATTTTATTCAGGCACCTGCCATAAATAGAAAATAATAATAATATACACTACCTAATCTATAAATGTTCATATATTTACTAATGGAAAATTACAGTTAGTTTCATGAATGCCAAACTGCAGCTCATTTAGCAGAAATGCTGAAGGCATGGTGTGGGACAGACTTTTTTCGCTAACAATGTATGACAAACGAAGAGGTACAGGTTTATTCCATGCCGAAAGAAAAAGAAAAGAGACACAATGTTTTTGTTGTGGAGCCTTCCAAAAAATATTTCTGTAGGTTTTTGTGTTAAAGTTAAATTACTGTATTTTTTAATTTTACTGTAAACGTTTTGGTGACTATTATGCTGTCAAGTTAAGACACCCACATTGTTTATATATAGCTAGTGAAAATTCCTGAAACAAAGATAAGATTTCCTTGTCCTCGCTGATAAGGAAACCAATATAAATCTCAATCCATTCTAGGGTGGTTTTCAGCACTTTATGGAGGACACGTAACTGTTCTGAACTTTGCCTTGTTGATTCTTTTTCCACCAAGGCTAATCAGAAGTTGTTTGGATTAGGTCTCAATCACTGTGGAAACCTGTTGCTGTTCTAAAAAGCTGCATTGTTTCCCTTTTCTCTCGGAGGATAAGTAGCCTGAAAAAAAATGGGAAGAAATATGAAAAATGTCCTTGTTGTCTCTTTTGGATTTTTGCTGCTCTTCACTGCATATGGGGGTCTTCAAAGTTTACAGGTAATGCATTACATAGTAAGAGAGAGTTTCTGACAGGGCTACAGTGTCTTTGTGGATCATTAATAGTATTATTGACATTACAATGAAAAGGGAAGTTCATTTTCCTGTGAAAGCTAAAGTGTTCTAATCATAACAAACATACTACAGAAACAGCATTATGTTTTACTGGAAGCCTTTAGGTTACATATATTTAAAAAAAACACAAGTACTTTTTAAAGAAATTTAGCTTTAGAAATCAAATGACCTTTGATGGAACCTATTTTATATCAATTGTTGTTTCATAATTAATTAAACCACTTAACAACAAACAATTTGAAAATGTTGTTGTTTGAAGTGAATACAATGTTTGAAGTGACTTTTGTAATTTAATTTTCTCTAATTTCTTTACTGAAAAGTATGGTGCAAGCAGCTCTGTAATATTCTCTTTTTATCTTATCTCTTTTATTTTTATACACAAAAAATAGAGCCTAAATTAAACACCTCAGAATAAAATGAGCTATGGTTTAACTATACTATAACTAACTCAAACATACATAGAAAAGTCCAGTAAGCCTGACAATTGTTTACTCTTTATCATGCTGAAGACATACAGTAAGTTTTTAACCTGATGTACTAGAGAAATATAATTTTGTATAACTGAGCACAAAAAGACTGCAGTACAGCAAGCAGCATTGAATGGGAGCAAATACTCAATCCACCATGAAACAAAAATAACAAATTTGTTAAGACTAAAGTCTGCAAAACATGTTAAAAATGTAACAATACATCAAAATAATTTAAAAAAAAATGAAAATGAAGTATGTTTTGGGAGCAAACAAGACTGTTTCATTTGACCAGTTTGTTCTATGCAGCTTAGGGTCTAGTAGTTTATTCAGTTTTACAAATAACTTTTTATGTAATTATGATATTTATGATTGGTCTCTACTTACTGTTTTATTGTGAAATCATTGTTGAACATTATTGTGTTCATTTGTTTTTTAGACCCCTAATGTATCAAATACAATAAATGACTGGTCTATAAATCATGTGCCAGTAAATTATTTAGAATACCAGGAAATAATATATTGCCAGCATTTTTCCTCCTTAACAGCCTCTCTCTACTGGGGTATGAGCTGTTACATTCATTGCAATTCTTTCAAACACAATTGCAATCACATAAAATCTAAATTCCTAAGAAAACTACTGTAACATTGTGTTGCAGTCAGTGGTTCTTAGCTACATTACTTTGGTGTGCCTGGTATACCATATTTACCTTATACAAGTTGTACAATTAAAAGAGTAATATTTCTGGCTATAATTCAACTTATGTCATGACAACAATAATAAAAAGGACCTATAAATGTGAATAAATCATCTCAATCTTATACTTGCACTTTGGTTTTTGGTTTCAGAGCAGCCTTAATGCCAGTGAAGGGATGGGTGTAGCATCTCTGAGTGTCATCTATGCATCTATCATCCTGTCTTCAATGTTCTTACCACCCATTCTTATTAAGAATTTGGGCTGCAAACTGACCATTGTTGCATCCATGGCTTGCTATGTGGCATATTCAGTCGGCAACTTCTACCCGGGCTGGTAAATTCCAATTACTCCTTTACTATGTCTATAAACACAGTTTTGCCTGTTCTGGTTGAAGCCACCAATATTATGTGGTGTCTTTATTCAAGATGATACATATTTTAAAGTAATTACTCTGATGAAAAATAAGAGATAATTTGAAAAGTTCAAAATGATACATATGGTAGAAGAAAGCATGAGCACGTAAAATCAGCATCAAGCTGAAGGCTTCCAATACATTTCAAACTTAAATAAATGTAATGTAATCTTGATGAAAATAGAAAGTAAAGGAGTAAACAAAAGAAGAAAAGGAATATTCCCGTGTTTAATCAGTATAACAATGACAGTGACGCGAAGGGAACAGTACCAATATTTTCCAGTTGAACATTTTATTTTAGATAAAAAAATATTGACAGAAATATTTTTACTTACATTTTGAAGAAGGATTTGGTTAGTGCACAGTGACAAGATGTAGTGATGTGATGATGTGAGTGTCTTGTATTTATTGAAACAATTAGAAATGGATTTTTATTGATTGTTTACTACAAAATAAACTCTGGTATTCTGGCCATCAACAAAAGGTCCAACTAACTTTTAGATATCTATAATAAAGCTTAATGTAATCATTTGCCTTGCTGCTACAATGGTGTCAGCTGGTGCTCATCTGGAAGCTCACAGATGTGATTCATTACCTTAATGGGCAGCTGTGAGTCATGTTATTTAAAGATCTCATATAATAATAATAATAATAATAATAATAATAATAATAATAATAATAATAGTAATTGCTTACACTTATATACTGTAGCACTTTTCTGGACACTCCACTCAAAGTGTTTTACAAGAAATGGGGACTCCCCTTCACCACAACCAATGTGCAGCACCACCTGGATGATGGGGCAGCCATAGTGCGCAAGAACGCTCTCCACACATCAGCAATAAGTGGGGAGGAGAACAAAGTGATGAAGCCAATTCATAGATGGGGATTATTAGGAGGCCATGATTGGCAAGGGCCAATGGGAATTTTGACCAGGATGCTGGGGTAACACACTTACTCTTTTCGAGAAACGCCCTGGGATTTTTAATGACCACAGAAAGTCAGGACCTCAGTTTTATGTCTCATCCGAAGGACGGCACCTGTTTACAGTATAGTGTCCCCTTCCCTATACTGGGGCATTAGGACCCACATGGACCACAGGGTGAGCGCCCCCTGCAGGCCCCAATAACACTTGTTCCAGCAGCAACCTTAGTTTTTCCCAGGAGTTCTCCAATCCAGGTACTGACCAGGCTCACACCTGCTTAGCTTCAGTGGGTTGCCTTTCTTGAGTTGCAGAGTGATATGGCTGCTGATAAATCAGGCAGGTACAAGAGAGAAAAGGTGGTGACAGGAGGACATGGTAAGAGACTCAGTATGTTGATGTAAAAGTGTCCATTCTTCCTTGTTACACTTCTGACAAGCTTGTTGTGGATAATTGATGGACTGTTACTGGTCCATTAAAAGACATCTACAGTACTTGACATCTACATTTACCACTTTTAGTTTTAATCCTGAGCAGGTTATGCTCTTTATTATTTTTACCTTAGTTTTAATAAACTTCCCAGTCCCTTCTTATGAGACGCAGACCCATAATATGGTTACCACCATGCTTGACAGTTGGGATGATGCTCACCAGGTGATACATTTTGTATGGATTGCGTCTTATTTAATGCTTTCCATTTATACTATAAATTCAATTTTTTGCTTTGTCTGTCCATAAAATCCTCTGCCACAGTATCTCTCTTACAAGATTTAAGATGTCTTTTTCAGTAAAGGCTTTTTTCTTACAATTCCCCTATAAAGTCCAGCTTTGTGTAGAGACTGGGATATTGTCCATACATCTTACAAATTTAGCAAATCTCTCAAATTATTGTTATCTTCACAGTGGCCTGCCTAACCAGCTCCCTGCTAATTCAAATACTCAGTTTGGAGGCTTTTCTGATCTTGATAGCATTTGAGTGGCATAATGCACATTCCATTTAATTTCACTCAAAGAATGATTCAAAGCAACTTCCGTAATCACAAAACAAAGTAAAGTAAATAATGTACAGTAAGTAATCAAATTAAAGGTTCCTTGGTCTTCAAATTCAAATTATCATAACATATCATATTTGAGGGAACTTAATAATAATAATTCGTCACGCTTACTGTATATAGCGCTTTTCTGGACACTCCACTCAAAGCACTTTACACTTTACAAAGGACTCCAACACCACCAACGTGTAACATCAACTTGGATGATGCGTTGGTAGCTATAGTGCACCTGTGTGCTCACCATACAGCAGCTAACAGTGGAGAGGATGAAACCAATTTGTAGATGGGGATTATTAGGAGACAATGATTGGTCAAGGCCAATGGGAATTTTGACTAGGATGCCAGGGTAACACTCCTACTCTTTTCGAGAAACACCAAGATTTTTAATGCCCAAAGACTGTCAGCGGCTCAGTTTTACATCTCATCTGAAGGATGGTGCCTTTTTACAGTGTAGTGTCCCCAACACTATACTGGGGTATTAGGACCCACACAGACCACCTGCTGGCCCCACTAACACCTTTTCCAGCAGCACCCTTAGTTTTTTTCAGGTGGTCTACATCCAGGTACTGACCGTGCTCATACCTGCTAAGCCTTAGTGGGTTTCCAGTTGTGAGGTTGCAGGGTGATATGGTAGCTGGTTACAAACTTACAAAGTTTTGAACTTACAAAGACAAATGTATTTACTGAGACATCAAGTTAAACACTTTGATAACACACAGACAGAGGGCAGTACACTCATTCTGAGATTTTATTACTATTTTACATTTGATTTGACTAACTGTTGCTGTAGCAAAGGAAAATAGTGGAAGGAATTGAGAATCTTCAGATTATGGAATTTCTTTAGAATTTTACTTTAGATTTGCATATGATTAGCACATTTATCTGTACCATTTTTTATAAATAGATTTGTGTAGTCTCTAAATATAAAGTCCCATTTGAATGTTCCATGATTGTAAGCTCAGATAGTAACATTAGGTGAAAACTTTGCAGGGAGTTACACACCTTTGCAAGACACTGTATGTGAATTCCAATTCAACTTTAGCTTATCAGGAATTCCAAACTAATATATTTGTTGATTCCCATTTAATATTTTCTTTGATTGGACTTCGAATAAAACTCTGCTAATATCTGAATATTGCCAACTATCGTCAGAGTATTTGAAACATTGGTTTTTGTCTTTCTCAGGGCAACTCTAATCACCACCTCTGTGATTTTGGGGTTAGGAGGCTCTCCTTTGTGGTCTGCAAAGTGTACCTACCTCACTATTAGTGGAAACCTGCAAGCTGAAAAGGACAACAAGAGAGGTCCCGATGTTGTCAACCAATATTTTGGGATCTTCTTTTTAATATTTCAGTCATCTGCAGTGTGGGGAAACCTCATGTCTTCTCTTATCTTTGGGCAAGATACAGGAATTGGTAAGTAAAAAAATACAATTAGATCCTCTATCACTTTATTTCCTTTGGAATTATTCTAACTTTAGGTCATAATTAGAAATGCTATGAAATATGATGTGGGACACTAACACTTCTATAAGCGAGGGGGAGGAGAATGATTAAAGTGTTGTGTTGCTCTTAGCTGTGGCTGTAACGGAAATGTCTGCGGAAGCAACCAATGGTGTCTGTGTGAGAGCTGTCAGCTTGATGATGTTTGTCAGAGATTGGCACAACCAGAAAAAAACAAGAATGAAACCAATAGGATAATCCTGTCGGTTGTACAACTAAGGTTGAAGCAGTTTTGAGTCAGAAGCTAAGAAGCAGCAGCCATATCACCCTGCAACTCACAACTGGCAACCCACTGAAAATAAGCACGTGTGAGCCTGGTCAATACCTGGATGGGAGACCTCCTGGGAAAAACTAAGGTTGAGGCTGGAACAGGTGTTAGTGGGGCGATGGGGACACTATACTGTAAACAGGCGCCGTCCTTCGGATGAGACATAAAACCGAGGTCCTGACTTTCTGTGGTCATTAAAAATCCCAGGGCGTTTCTCGAAAAGAGTAGGCTTGTAACCCCGGTGTCCTGGCCAAATTTCCCATTGGCCCTTACCAATCATGGACTCCTAATAATCCCCATCTATGAATTGGCTTTATTACTCTACTCTCCTCCCCACTGAAAGCTGAAGTGTGGTGAGCGTTCTGGCGCACTATGGCTGCCATCGCATCATCCAGGTGGATCCTGCACATTGGTGGTGGTGGAGGGGAGTCCCCATTACCTGTAAAGCGCTTTGAGTGGAGTGTCCAGAAAAGCGCTATATAAGTGTAAGCAATTATTATTATTATCATTATTAAAGCTGTTCTGATTAATTTCAACCCATTCCTCAGTGACTCTCAGCCAATTGTGTGCTGCCACTTGGGGAAACATACAGTAGTCAGTTGACTGGTGACATTGCCTAGACCTGAAACTGAACTTACAATGCCTGTCTCATGGAGTATACTGTACTTAACTATTTTCTGAAGCCTTTCTTGTTGATTTTGTAGATAGGGAAATAGGCTTGAAGCTGGTTATCAAAGCATTGATGACGCCTTGCCCTTTGTCGTCATGATGTATTTCAGTGCAATGGCGTAAGTCTCTCTAGCACATTTGGCCTTAGTGATGGAAGCAATAGCTGTTCCAAAAGATCTATGCAGTACTCCTTTAAATCATGTATTGTATGCATAATCTTCCCTTATTTACCTCCCTGTATACAACAAATATAAAGGCATTTTCAGGCAATTAATTCCTTTACTTCTTTCACGGCTGATTGCTTTACCCACTTTTGTAAAAAGAGCATAAAACCCATCTTCCAAGATGTTATGCAGGCATTTCTAATCATTGAGTGTGTAAATATAGAGCAACAAGTATACAGACTGAGAAAATGTCTCTGGCACATTATAGTCTCTGGCATATTATAGGATTACCATAAAACGTTATGCAACATACTGTATTGCTGCATAATAATGTATAAAGTCCTTGTTAGGATGGGTAAGCCTTATCAACAGAAGTTAATTTGTCCATGTATTCATTATTATTCCCTTAGGCTAGAAATTGCAGGCTTGTTGGTACTGTACCCAAAGGCCATGACTTTAATACTATAGTTCTGTTTATAGCCATCAGTTGACGTGAACCTTGTCTTTGACACTCCTTTTTCAGTAAACACTTTTGCTGAAACATCACACTCTTTTAAATTTAAACTGATCTTTTTAAAAGTTCTGCAACCTAATGCGCTCTGGAATGCCTTTGTGTAAAAGACACTTTAAAAAATATTGCTTGGTATTCATTTTTCATTCTGAAGCTGAAATACCTGAAGAAGACCTGAAGTTCTGTGGAGCAGGCAGCTGTGAGTACACTGGTGAAGCTGTAGGAAACTCAACAAGGCCTTCAGACACATTAGTCAATACTCTTCTGGGCAGTTATATAGGTAAGTTGTGTACATACATAAAAGTAGCAATGGTATGATACATGATATAACAAAGAGTGTTCATTTTTCTTTCTCAGATCAATGCTTGGGTCTTGAAGAATTAAATATATTGTATTAATTTCATATGTAAAATGTTTTTTTTACACACTTAAGTCTTCTGTTTATTTTTAAAATGTTATTTTATTTATTTTTATACCCACCTTGTTTGTACCTGTGAAATATTTCTTTAAATATTGGCTGACAGCAAGGATTCCTGTACTGCAAGAGGGGAGATGGGATAGGAACAATGTATTTTTTCTGTCTGCCCCCAAAGAACCATTCATCTTTTGACACAAGTTCCTACAGAAGTTTTACTGAGGAGAAAAGTGTTCCTCATTTGGTTCACTGAAAGTCTTTAGGCATCCAGGAAGTCGAGTGTTAGCCACAAACTAATAAACCAATTCTAGGTTTTAAAAATGCATTGCTAATATAGTTTTTCATAAAATACAATTTATGCATAGAGTTTAATCATCTGCATTTGAGAATTTATGTTAGGATAAAAACAAAATAAAGCATTTGCAAAAACTGAATACATGTCTAACAAAGCATTACTGTTAAAGACCTTTATGGATTTCTTTGCATAGAATGCATATACACTGTAAGAACAAAAACTGTTAATTGAGTTCAGTATTTTCATGTTTCTCTTAATCCTTCTATAAACCATTCAACAAACTACACAACCTAGATTAATTATAATCATTCATATTTATAGCAACGTCAGGACGTAGCTGGTCTTCCTGCACTGCAATACTGTATTTATGCACCTGTTGTTTATACAGAAGATGCCATTCCCTAGTGAATCAGGACACCAGGACATCAGGATACCACGCAGTTGCGGTGGAGGTGGTGGCTCAATTTACCATCTCATAAGCAGTTAATTCATCTTTGTGATACTGTATCTGCTCAGGACAAGTCAAAATCTGTTGATTCACTTCTAAAGCAACCATTTTTCTCAAAACTTTCTTAGGTTTCAACAAACTTCTTGCTGAATGTGCTTCTCCTTATCCCATATTCTGCAACTCAATCCTTTGTGACAGCATAATGTACTGTAGCTCAGAGGCTGCGTTTGTGACCTTTGCAGGTGTTGGAGTCCTGGCTATAATCTTTGTGGCAGTTTTCCTGGACAACCTTGACAGAGATGCAGCTCGTGAATTCAGGGACAACAGAGATCCATTTTGGACAGTTTTCCTGGCCACTTTCAAACACCTCTCTGACAAGCGACAGCTTCTGCTCATCCCTCTGACAATGTACAGTGGTTTTGAGCAGGGCTTCCTTGCAGGAGATTACACCAAAGTAAGAGAACACCCTTGAACATAAAAGTTACTCTTTTGAAAAATAGGGAATTAATCACAATTTATTTTTAAAATGTCATTGTGAGACAGAAGCAAGGCACCACCAGCCTCTGTTTCTTCTTTCTGTATTAAAAGAGATTATATTCTTTGTGTGCTTTTTCAGAGCTCTGACATTAAATGAAATGTATATTTTCTTTAAATTAATTACTATTTTTAAAGAACTAATAATACTTGTTACTGTTACTGTGCAGAGTGATAGGAATGTCCAAGCTCCACCAAACGTTTAACCACACCTAGACCAAGTGTACAAGCATTTCTTTTGCTTACTGTAAATATCTGTACACCTAGGCTTGTCTGTTTCAGCCACTGATTGTTGTTCTATACTTCATTATCCTGGGTAGTAATTGACAAATTAGTTTATTTGATGTTTTCATCTTAATAGTAAAACAAAAATGCAGAAATCAAACTGCATGGACAAATAGTATTGATTGACTTATTTGAAAAAAAATATTTAATTATTTACAAAAATAAAGGTGGTGAATAATCACATGGGGAAACAATACATCAACCTATTTATGACTAGATGGAAGTTACTTTCTTAAACTGACATTTATGTTTTTATTCACAACTATCTTTCCAGTACTATGTCACCTGTGCATTGGGAATACATTTTGTTGGTTTTGTGATGATCTGCTTTGGTGCAACAAATTCATTATGTTCCTATGCCTTTGGAAAGCTGGCACAGTATACAGGAAGAGCAGCCTTATTTGGCTTGGGTAAGAAGTGTTTTCTCCAGAACAAGATTACATGTGTTCTAAATATCATTTTCTTGTCAGAACACAAATAAGCATTTGTTTTTGTGATGTGGTAAACGTAAAGTGATCCATCAAAGCATAACTGAAGCCAGGGTTAAGGTTTTACATGTAAAATAATTGACAGGTTAAACTCTCAATCACTTTGGTGAATCATCTTTACAGTATACGTCCCTGAAACAAAGTTTATATTCATCATAAATCTTTGTTTAGACTTTTTGTCTTTAACCCTGATTTTGATAAAACTACTACTGGTTTCAGGACAAGGCACAGTCTTCACAAGTTACCATTTACACCTTATTGCTTTAAGGACATATGTACTCAAGCAGCTGAACTCTATGCTGTTAATATATAAAAGATCACAAAACATTTTGTATCTCTGCTTTTCTCTTGCAGCAGCCGTGTCAAATTTTAGCTGTATAATAGCCCTGCTCTTGTGGAAACCTCATCCAGACCAGCTAGCAGTCTTCTTTGTATTTCCTGCTCTTTGGGGAATGGCAGATGCTGTGTGGCAGACACAAACCAATGGCAAGTTACCAGAGCTCACAGATATACTTTGATTTTGCTCATGTGCAGCTGGCACAACAGTAACCAACATTTCATGCACAATTCTTGAAAATTAGGATTGTTAAGATTATTTTAACAACACTAATCTCTTATTCATTAAACAAGTGGTAGTTAGGATTTCACATATTATGTAATTATGTACATAAGAATTGTTTCATTCAGTTCATCATTGCTATAGTTACAATTTATAGATTCGTTAAATTAAGTGTTATTTTCAGTATTTATCCTAACCTGAATGATTTTTTTTCTAGCCCTCTATGGAGTTCTCTTTCATGAACACAAGGAGGCAGCATTTGCCAATTATCGACTCTGGGAGTCGGTGGGATTTGTGATCGCTTTTGCTTACAGCAACTTAATCTGTTTGGACATTAAACTGTATGTCTTGATAGGAGTTCTGGTTGTTTCAATGGCACTCTATGGGTTGGTGGAATACAAAGAGTACAAGAATCCTACAGTGAGAGAAGACAATGTATCAAAGAAAGTGCCAGAGAAGCTAATCATTTCTGAAACAAAATTTTAGCAAACTATTTTGTGTTAACGTGTTAAACTTTTTGAATGAATTTCTTTTTTTTTTTCAAAGCATACAGGTGAATTAAGAACATTAAAAGCCATTGGTTGTGAACTTTAAAAACAATTATTATGGTTAGTTTTCTTTGAGACACTCAAAAGTCTTTATCTTAAAACTTGTCCATGCTGCAGTATTGTTGACTTCATAGTCTGTTCTACTAATATAATACATATTATGTTGTACCTGAATATTAAACTTTGAGAGGATTTGACACCACTCCCTTATTACCATACTTTCTGTTATAAACTTAGAAAAAATCCATATCTGTCATGCTTCACACTAAAAGTATTCTGATAAAAGAAAATTTAGCAATCCATGTTAACAAAGAATATTCAGATATCATTTATGGCTCCCAACATTAACTACACAAATTAGTGATTTTGTTATTGATATTGCTGAAAGTAGACATTTGACTGAAATTGAAAACCTGGTTGTTCTTTTTGATCCTATATACTTTATGTAAGAAACATCACAAGGGCTCCATTTGAACTACACTGCTAGGTTAGCATCCTTGATACACACCGTTATTTTATCAGACTACTGTAATAGCTTACCTAATTGGAGCATCCATTAAGAACTCATAAGGCTTTTAGAATTCTTTGTGAAGAATTCACATTCTTATTAAATTAGTGGGTTGACCCCAAAGTATTTTTTTATTTTGATATGACCAAGTATAGGCATTGAATTACAGTACTAAAAAATGTATAGTATATTGTATTTATCATCTGTAATAATTTTTAAATCAAAATACAAATTGATAAAAATATGATTAAAAGGCACAAATAACAGTTTGACTTTGCTGTTTACTTTTGGAGGGCTCTATACTCCCTTTTTGAAGGGATACAAATGTGGTTAGTGTTTATGTGTGCATGTACAGTACACGTCTAATTTACATACTGTATAGAACAGTTTTAGGTATCTGTAGATTAATGTTTTAAAAGTAATTAAACTAAATAAATGGGAGAAAACAAGAACTGTACATCTTTAGAAGCCTCATGCATTCTGTTTTATGCAAAATGTTATGAGAACTTTATACACTTCTCATAATAAGGTATTATACATTCTTGGGTGAATGGGTATTCTTTCCTAGACTGAATGCTAGAAATCATGAAATTCCTAAGCTTTTACTAAATTGTTTCTCTTTTTGAGAAATAATTTATATTATTTATTTTATACGATTAGGAAGCCTCTGTAATTATACTGTACATACTGTATGTGGCATGTTACCTTATAGTTTGAGTTTTTTAGCATTGTTATATACATCACTTTTTCTATATACTGTATTTGCACAAAAAGAACGCATATAAAAAGAAAAAGAACGTAAGATACTAGTTAGAAAAATGTTCAGGCAACTAATTACTGTAAATGCTGACGTACAGTATTGTATCGACCACATTACAGAAAGTAAGAAGTCAGCTTTCGTAGGCACAAAAACACAATGAACGAACACACGACTTTGCGTCCTAGCAACAGGTGCGGAGCACTTACAAGGCAGGAGCAAGAAATTTTGCAATCAATAACAATGAGCGGTGCACAGACTGAAATAGCGACACCGAGGCTGCTCTGGAAATCTGGATTGCAGGGAAATTAAGGTATAGTAAGTGATTTAGTAAACTAAGAAAAAACGTTTTGTTAAATTGTACTACTTTACATTTGGTTCTTACTATCAAGCAGAAAACAGGTAGCGCACCCTATGTTACATAACAGTTTACAGGTGTTTGCATTTCTGTCTCAAAAACCGAAGCCACCCAGTGAGCAAGCGTTTTAAATCCAGCGTTTTAAATCCAGCATGTGGCATGATATGGTACAGTACATCTCTAAAATCATTCTGCATCCGCCTGGATAATACAGTTACTAAATGACATGTTACAATAATTATTTATCTGACACATGTAGTTCTGTATAGAATAATAAAATCTACTGCTATAAATCATGTAATTTGATTATTTTTAATGGCTTTATTTAGAAATAAATGCAAATTGTCTTAAGAATTTAAAGGTAAACAAAACTAAAATTAATTTCCTTTTAATAGTTACTGTACTGTAATTTTTTTAGATTATTGTATTGAAGATAAGTATGTATTAATAGTCAAATGTTAGCCCCCGATGATGACCACTGTTTGTGATTGATTGTGCTAGTAGTATCATAAGTCATAATAATACCTTTTATTATAGGTATTATTGTAATAATATCCCTTTAGAAATACACAGGAATTATACCTATTATTATAGGAATTTTTACAGATGCTGGTTACCACCATGATGGAGTGCTGGGGTTTGGTGCTTCTGTAAGAAAAGTGTTAGAAAAACGAATCAAAAGACCAATACTGAAGATTCACTTTCTCTTGTCTCTGACAATTGAATAAAAGGATCTTTTCAAGTACTGTATTGTTGTTAGTAACCATAAATAATCCTGGTGATAAAAAACAATTTAGTCCAAGAACAGGGTTGCTAAGATCCTAGCTTTATAAACAGTATTAAGTGAACGTTTGGTGAATAAAAATATCACACACATACAATCAATGTAAACATTATTCCTTATTATGAAGATTTGACATGTGATGGCAAGGGTTATCACATGTTTTAATAGTTGTAACACAGAGTGACCATTATGTTCTAATTTTGAAATAGTGTAGTTCTTGTGCTATTAAATTCCCAGTCCTTCCATGCATTGCCTGTCTATTATAGATATTATGCAAACTGCTTGTAACTTGTCAACTGTGAATGTTTTTGCTTTGAATGACATTTGACATGTTATTTTGTCAAAAAAATAACTAGAAAAAACAAGTCCGTTGATGTCCTAAGCTTTTTTTTTAGAAGTTCAGACTTCTGCAGACTTGTACAGTATAATTCAAAACCCTTATGAAAATATCTTAGAATACGAGATTTATTTATGTCCTCATTATCACAGCTTCAAAAGATGAAAGATATTTCCTGAAAGCTGGTACTACTTACAAAAGCTTAAGTTCCATTGGAAGTCCCAAAGTTAATTTACATCTTGCAGTTTTCTCTTGAGTATTCTGTGCAGGTCTCTGCCTACCTGGGTTTTATAGGCATAAAACCCATCATAACATGTTTTGGATACCTACAGTACTGCGTCTTACTTACTCCTCAAATATGAACTAGAAGATTTACTTCATTCCACTGCTACATGAACTACTTACTGCAGCTACTGTTTGTAGTTTCTTAGCTACTTAGCCTCCCCTCTGTTTCTACTATTAGTTATTGTAGGTAATTTAATGAATTACTTTATCTGTTTAATTTGATCCTTTCCCTAGGTCTCGCATGTAATGGAATTTTATCATTTAAAGCAACCTGCTTGACTGAGATTATTGTGGAATTAATTTCCTCTAATTTGTATGATTTACATGCTATTTAATTGTATTTCCACTTTTATATCCAGCCATAAACTGGAATCTAGTCTATTTGTCTATCAACTGTCTGGAATAGTTAGTATTTGTTCAGGATGACTAAAGTTTAAAACTTCAACAGGGAAATTGATGCACTTTAAGATGTCAACCCAGGAGGGCTCTCATGTGACACCCACATAATGTACAGGTATTATATTGCACATTACCACTGCTAGACCTGACTTTATTACATAGCTTTATGTACAGTATATGTTAATGGATTTAATGTGGATTGATTTTTACAGAGGAGGTGGAGCAACTAGTGGACTGATGCACAAACAACAACCTATCTCTTAATGTAAATAAAACAAAAAAGATACATATTACACAGATACATTACAGATTACTTCACTTGGTCCTTCAATACCACCTCCCTAGCCAAGAAAGCACAGCAGTGTCTCTATTTCCTGCAACGACTGAGGAGCGAAAACCTTTCCCGCCCATTCTTACCACATTCCACAGAAGCGCCATTGAGAGCACCTTGACCAGCTCTATCACTGTTTGATTTGCGAACTGCAATGCTTCAGACCGCAAAACCCTGCAAGAATTGTGGAAACAACTGAAAACATCATTGGAGCCTCCCTACCTACCATTTCTGTCATCTATCACAAACACTGCTTACACAGGGCCTCCAGTATAGTAGATGACCCCTCCAACTCCTCCCACCCCTCCAATAAACTCTTTGCCCTCCTACCATCTGGAAAAAGATATCGCAGTGTACGGGCTAGCTCCACCATACTCTGTAATAGCTTCTTCCTACAGGCTGTCAGGCTCCTCAACACCCTGGAATCTACTTGCTCCCACTCCAATTCCAGAAACAGGGTTTAAATTCCCCCGGTGTTTAGTGTATATTGTATTACAGTATGTATTTGCCTTAGAAATATGCATTATTTGCACTTTGCAGTATGTGTTTCCTATCTATAATGTCAATGTCAGTGTCCTGTTTGTATTTGCACCATGGACTAGAAGGAACGATATTTCGTTTCACTGTATACTTGTATATGGCTGGAATGACAAATAAACGTGAACTTTATGTTTTTCTTGACCATGCTACCTGTGCCTTTAGAGATTAATGGTAAATTACTTATTAATGTGTCTGTTTTGGCTGAGAAAAGTTGAGCATTGGTACATACTTTATCCTATTTAGGTATTTAGTTTTTCTTACACCCGACTAAACCAAGAATGTATGATGATCAATTTGGTTATATTTTTGGTGTCTATTAATCTCTTTCTACTTCAAGTCCACAGGTGAAACATTCCAGAGCATGACATCAGCTGAAACTGTACCCATGGTGTTTCGGCTTCATGAGAATGCACCTGAGCTGGTGCGAGAGGTTCTGCTGGAACGTGGATGGAAGGAATACAGTGAACGAGAGCAAGAAGAAGGTGACTGGAATTTGTATTGGCGCACTTCTGTTTTTCGTGATGTAGAGTTTGAAAACATATTACCTTGGCAAAGGCTGAACCACCATCCCAAAACTTTGGGCATAACAAGAAAAGACTGGTTGGCAAGGAATCTGAAAAGGATGAAGGGCACCTTTGGCTCAGCCCTCTATGATTTTAGCCCCACCGCTTACATCCTTCCAAATGATTACACAAAATTTCTGGGAGAATACACAAAAGAAAAGGCAGCAAATGGAGGAAAACCAGGGTATTGGATCTGCAAGCCAGTAGATCTCTCCAGGGGAAGAGGTATATTTATTTTTGATGACATTAAAAAACTGACATATGACTCCTCTGTCATTGTACAGAGGTATATCAGCAATCCTCTATTGATCTCTGGGTACAAGTTTGACCTTCGGATTTATGTTTGTGTGAGAAGTTTTCACCCTCTCACGATTTACATTTACCAAGAAGGTCTGGTACGTTTTGCAACAGAGAAATACCAATTGACTTGCCTAGACAATTTGTATTCTCATCTGACCAACACTAGTATCAACAAGTTTGGCCCATCTTATACTACAGACAAAGAGAGAGTAGGTCCAGGTTGTAAGTGGACCATGAGTAAGTTCCGTTGCTTTCTGCACAGCCAGAAATTTGATGAGATCCTTCTATGGCAGGGAATCAACAGCATAGTAACTCTCACTGTGCTTACAATAGCGCCTTCTCTTCCATTCAGCCCCAACTGTATTGAGCTTTTTGGATTTGACATCTTGATCGATGACAACTTCAAACCTTGGCTCTTGGAGGTAAACTACAGCCCAGCGCTGTCTCTGGACTGTGCTGCAGATGTGACTGTGAAGAAAAGACTTCTCCATGACCTAGTTGATTTACTGAACTACAAGAAAATAGACAGCCTTAGACAGAGTGGTTACTTGAGGGAACAGTATAGACACCCTTGCAAGTCCAGTGCACAGGCTCTGGAATCAACATATCCTCCAGTGCTGTTACTTCCAAAGTGCATTTCTACATCACACAACACAAACAGTAGTAAATCTTTTTTGGACAAACTAAACTTTAGCAGTGAGTTACACTTTGATGAAACAAAACAACTAAAATCTATAGAATTACAGTGTTTAAAAGCAGATTGGAGAAGCAGAAGTGATGCTTCATGTTCTACATATAGCTCAGAATATGTTACAGTATCAAAGGCATCTAAATGTCCTCCACTTTGCAAAGTACCAATTCAGGACTCAAGTGTTAAACCTGTGTCACCAAAAAAAGACTTGTCACTCACTAGAAAAAAGCATTCATCACAGGGTTTTTCTACGCTACCACCCATTCACATTCAAAGATACAGAACTCTTACATTCCACTGGAACCAAAACCCTCCAGAGAATATTAGACCTCCAACTCGTGTTGGTGACTTCATACTAACATTTCCTTTTAACGAAGTCACATTCAAGGCCTCACAAAAGAAACTCAATGTAAAATTTGTGGTACAGGAGATTCAACGACTTAGAAATAGACTAATGTCTTCTGACAAAAATAAAGTAAGGAAAAGAAGAGAATCTTGTTTGGACAAAATAAGTGATGATAAGGAATGTTTTGGAACATTGCTCTGGGGGCCTAGGTACCCTCCGCTCCTTAGTGAATGCTGCTCCACTAAAGGATGAGGCCTTAAAGTCACATTTTTTTAGGTTTTTAAAAACGAGCATTTTACAAGACTTGCATAAGTGCATTTATCTTCCCTGCATTTATAATTACAAGGCAGGGCAACTACAATTCAAACAGACTATTGGATATTTTTTTATTGTAATGTTACCATTAATTCCTGCAATGAACTGGTGTTTCATCCAGGTTGTGTCCTGTCTTGTGCTCTAGCTCCCCCATAACCATGAATTGGATGAAGCGGTTAGAAAATGGATGGATAAATGCTATTCTCATTCCATTATTCTACTTTCTTTAAGGAAGGCAATTACAGTATGTTACATCTAAATTGGTTTGGAATGCAAAGATGTACCTGCATTCATTTAAAACTATCTAACAAAGCACACAAGTCAGTGATGCTTTGAACTGTATCTTTCTGACATAAAACTATATTGTTACAGTATATATATATATTGCTTTTTAAGTTACTGTAGGTCTTTGAAAACATGGACCAATATAGACTCAAATATTTCTCAATGTAATGTAGAAGCAGATGTAGAGTGACCACACATAGTAAAAGAATATATTGTTTACTGGCATCCCCAGAATAAAATTGAAATTAAGATTCAGTCCCATTACTGCACTTTCTTTAAAAATTTGGCATGATCTGGAAACATTTATGGAAGGTTCATTTATTAGATTATTTGGAAAAATGATCTTCTAATGACAGGAGTGAGCCTTCTAGGCTACAAACATCTATTTATCTAGTTTTAAAGATAAAGGCCTTTGGACTTTTGAGGAATTGACAAATGTCTTCTTTCTAACATTTTTTTTTACTATTAATATTTAAAACAGCTCTAATTCTTTTGACCACCATCTTGCGCCATCTCTTGGCCTGTGGTTACCCTGGGAAACTGGAGCATTCTCATGAGGGCTCACTGGTTTCCAGGGTTCACCATTGAGACTGGACCTTCTTTCGGTCTGTCCTCTTACTGTAACGATTCATAGGTCAGAATCCTATGCAGACGGTATAATCCTGAAGTAAGTGAAACGGACACGGGGAGGAGATGGCAAGGAACTGACCAGGTTGACAAACAGGGGGGTGTGGAGACTGTGCACTGGTGCTCGGGATGGCGTGGCCATGGTGAACAAGTCCAGAGGAGTCCAGGGGGTAATCCAGGGAGAAGTCCAGAAGTCCAGTACCTGGTGATCCATCAAAGACAAAACAAAATGAGGTTAAAAACCAGAACGGGATCTGGTGCAGGGACGGGGAATAAAAATAGGGATGACGAGCCCAGGTGCTCTGAGCCCTGGACTCAGCTGGGTCAGGACGCTGATAGGAGACCTTTGCCCTCAAGCTGCAGACGTAGGGTGACTTGGTGGTAGGCGGGCCTCCAAGCGTCCGTCTTCCAATGCAGAGCCACGAGTAGAGAGAGCATCTGGCCTAACTAAGGAGGGGCAGGCAAGATAGGAGGCAGGTGCACATAGTCAATTAAAATGTGAAAGAGCCGGCGCGCCCTTAAGAGGGAGGATTATGATCATGACACTTACTCACCAAATAGGACTCGAATAAGTCCATCATCCCCTTTTCCCTTTAAATTCTGGAAGTGCTTATCCAGCAGTACTTCATCATACTACTGTTCAATGGAAGTACTGCCAACACATCCTTTCATCCCACCCCTGGGTGGTTTCTCTCAGACTGACTCTGTGATGGCTATTTCCTGAGCAGTCCACTTCTGTCTGGAACTCTGAATTCTTCTCCAGCTGTCTCACTCATGCTGTTAACTTGGCTTCATCTCCAAGCAGCTTTGTCCGTCTGGAATCTGAGAGCTCATTGCAGACTGCCCTCACTCAGCGATGAAACAGCCTTTACTCAAACCTGCCTCGAATCTCAGATTTCTGCCTTGCCGGTTCAATTCCCAGCTTTACTCTGGATTTTCAGAGCTCATCTTGGACTGTCTTTGCCCTGCTGCTAGAACAGCCTTCACTCAAAGCTGTCCTTCCCTGCATTCACTGCAGGCTGAACGCTGTCTCATTAATAGATATAGATATAACAGATTTAAGAGGATTGAATGTAAGCTACTTGTTAATGCTAGTTTTTGTACTTCTGTCAAGGTTATATCAAAACAGGACTATAATGAATAGGGACAGGTAATGGGTTTGTGAGGTTATCAGAGGTGTCTTTCAGAAAATTAACACCTGTTAGGGAGAAAAACACGAAAAACATAACATGAGGCACAGTTTTATTATTCAGAGGGAACCAAATTCCACATTAGGGATAAAAACTGTTACAAAAAGTGTGAAATTAGTCATTTTACTAACCTAATTAAGAGGCTTATAAAGCCAGTGAGGAGGAAAAGGATTTCAGTCTTATTTTAGACTCTAGCTTGGAGGAGGGGGAGAAGAGAGGTCTCATTTAATGGGCCTGGCAAGCTTACAGGAATATAGCACTTACTGTAGCTACACAAAAATACACAAAAAAACAACTGTCACCTGGCAGTGTTGGTCTCCTGGTACCAAGTGTGCTGGCATTGTCACGTGATCTCTTCTGCATTCCTGCTTTACAAATATGAATAAATATATATTGATTCATAGCTTTTAACATTTTTTTTCTTGAGTTTTTTTCCTCCGCTTTGGCTGATGCTAAAAACTGTATCAACACAATACATCTTTAACTTTATGTCAAAGTCATGTTTAGATAATAAAAAAAACATTACACGAACACTATACAGTACAGTATGCTGCCAAGCATTGAAAATGCACCTAAGCTATAGTATTTTTTTATCTATCACCTACAGTAGATAAGGATAGATCTATTACATAGATAGATAAGGGCAGGGGAACAGGAAATTAGAGTGGTTAAATAAAAAGTAAAAAGAAATGAACAAGTAGAAGAAGGCTGGAGAAGGCTCCACAGCCAAAATGTTTTACAGTATCTCTTTTCTTTTTACTGTTGAATAAACCTTTACTTGTTCCTTTGCAGCCTGCACATGCTGATGCAGCTACCTACATACCAAAATGTCAACAATGTGCCTAAGCAGTAGGTAACAATTTCAGTTATGAGAGATCTGGCACATTAATTGGTAGGGATGCAGAAGTCAGTTCACCAAAGGTTTGAGATCAGTTTAATTGTGATGAAAATGGCCATTTCTGGAGAACACTGAAGGAAAAACACACACAAAGTATATTTCCCACATATTGAAAGTTGCATCAATTGAAAATAAAAGAGTATGATGTTTTGTGTCATTTTTTTCATTACTGTAGGTTAGGTTTATCTATTATTAGGACCTAGAGAAGCTGTTGACATATACTGTACATGAACAAGATTTATTACACTTGATCAAATAGTAATTGTGTTTGAGCCACAATGTGCAAATACATTTGCAGCTGTATATATAAACATAAGCAGAGTCACTTAAAACATGCTTAACTATTCAAAATAAGAAGCACACCTGACTGCTCTGCTCACCATTACCACATAAGTGTCCAGGCCTTGTATAATTTTAAGATAACCTTTTCACTGATGCACTGATGGGTTGACATAACATTTACTGATAACTTAATACCAGTTGTAACATTTTAAGAGTTAGACAAAGAAATGTTTGTTTTTAAAAAAGGGGATTTGTCCAAATGGTATTGATACTCTCATAATTCTTTATTTTCAGGATTTAATAAAGGTGTAATCCATTAAGAATTTAAAAAGTATTACCAAGGAAATGAATCCCACTGTGTTATACTGTATGTATGATACTATAGCAACTTCATACCAGTTTCATTTTTGTCCTCTTTTAATCTATACAGTAATTGTAGTGTTTTTGACTCAGTAGCTATACTATAGTTACTTATCTCATATCATGGGCAGGTGTAAGGTCACAAGTTCAGAGCCTGCCTGGGTATCAGCCTCCTCTGTTATGTAAGAGAGAAAGATGAGGACCTCATAAATAATAGGCTACGTTGCCTGAGATAAGGTTAATCTCACTCCATATATTGATGGGAATATGGGAAAAAGGTGATGGTGCAAGGTTATAGTTTGACAATGCATATATTTTAATTATTTTTCTATACTGATGCAGTTCTGTTATGTAGTATGAGAAGGATAAAAATATATTGATGCAATATTATATTCAAAAAAGCTTATTTCACATCCTGGATAAATAATAAATTATGCCCATGTAACTTAAAACACACTTTGCTACTGTATATTATCCAGCTTGAATTCACCCTTGTATTGACATACAATGCTACTGTTTGCATTGTCAGCAACATTACCAACCTGTTGCTTGATCTTGTCAGAAGCTAATCAAGGTCAGTAATGAAATGGCAGGCCTCTATGGAACACAAGTAGTACTGGTAGACTAGTAGGTTGCACACTTACATGTGTACTGTACCAGAAATTCCAAAACAAAGTCCCAGTATGGTGACCAGGGACACCGTGCTGTGAGGGATGCTGTACTTTGGATGAGATGCTGACCCAAGGGCCTAATTACTTTGACATTAAAGATACAATGGACCTGTTTATGTAACTAGGGGAGTTAGCCCTGGTGTCTTGGCTGTATTTTAATGTTTCTAGATTTCCACAGTTAGATCTATCTACTGTTTTTCCTTAATTCAGCATAATTTTAAGGTTAGGTTTGCAGAGTGAGAGCACAGTATCTAGCTTGACGCGATGTGCTGATTACTAATATTTCACCACTTAAACAATAAATCAGTAGTATTTGAGCCTTCAGCACATGTAAAATGTATGACCTAGTGTAGTATGTACTAGATTATTTTACCTCCTTATAATTAACAAGCTACCAGATGAGACCTTGCCAAGATGGAAGATGAATGAATGAAGCCTCTTTATGCTTTGTTGAATATCAGATATATCTAACAATGCTATCTCTCTACAAGTAAGCCAAACTTAAATCCGAAGTCACTCTTGAAATCTATTCACATCAGTCTTAAACTTAGGCTTTATATTATTGTTATAGTTAACGTTCTAGTAACTTTGGTCAAACATAATAAACAACACAGGTATTTGCAGCATGTTTTTGATTGCTTTCATGTACTTGTCAGCAATGTGGCACACATCTGCAAATAACAGTAATAGTAATCATATACAGTACAAGATGTTATGCTTTTAAACTTGAAGAACAACTGAGTACCGAGCAAGGCATGTTTTCCCAATATTTTGTTGCACAAATGCTGTTTCAAATCCTTAATGTTCATTAGTGTTTGTTG